ACAGGTAACAGAACAATCCTCCAGGATAAGGTGTTCAAAGCATGGAAATGCAAATACATTTTTACAAATGTACATATTTTAGTATGACTTTGGCTGAGGACAGCAATGTGTTGATACCACTGTGAAATCAGTGACATGAAATTCAAGCTTTTTTGCAATGCTTTGAGTGAGCAGAACACTGGATAAGATACATTATGTATTGCGGTATTCTTGCCGTCAATGTGCTAATATCAGTGGTATCTATTTTAATAATACTCAGTACTGTAAAATCTGTATTAGAAACCGCAACTTATATTAAAATGGTACAACGCAACAGAGGGGTTGTGGCTTCTATTAAAGCATATGAGAAATGATGAATTTTTTGTTCTCAATTATTCAATCAAAGAAAGCTTAGAAAGAACTCCCATGTGCTGAGAGTATTGAAGACACATTAAATATAATTCAAAATTACTTGTACTTGATTGAGATAGTGATGGAAAAGCTGAAAACTAATAATGCAAATCAGAAAATTAATATGAACAGGATTGAGTGTAAAACTAATGAGGTCTGTGCAATGTAACAGACCATCTATGTACCAAGTTTTATTGAAATGTGATTGGAACCAAAAAAAATTATGAATTATTATGCTAATTAGGGAATTAAAATAAACGGATTTTAACCCCAAACTAATCCCATTTGTACATTGTCCTAGAGCATCTTTGCACCAAGTTTCATTGAAATGAAATAATTAGTACTTTAGATATCAGTGTGATAGCTTAAAAGTGGTTAATTATGCAAATTAGTAATTAATATGTACAGATTTGAACCCACGATTATTCAGTCTATTGTCCTACAGCATCCATGTACAAAGTTTCGTTGAAATGTGATGATTAGTACTTGAGAAATCAGTGTGAAAGCTGAAAATTAATTAATTATGCAAATTAGGTAATTAATATGCCCAATTATTTACCCTAAAACTAATCAGGTCTTTGCAGGATAGTCCTAAAAGATCTATGTACCAAGTTTCATTGAAACGTGATGATTAGTACTTGAGATATCTGTGAAAAAGCTGAAAATTAACTAATTATGCAAATTAGGTGATTAATATGTACAAATATTTATCCCAAAAAAACTAATCTCTGCATAGTCCTTGAGTATCTATGTACCAAGTTTCATTGAAATGTAACGCTTACTACTTGAAACATCAAAAGCTGGAAATTAATTAATTATGCAAATTAGGTAATTAATATGCACTGATATTACCCTAAAAACTATCAGGTCTGTGCAGTGTTCTATGACATCTATGTACAAAGTTTCATTGAAATGTGATGATTAGAACTTGATCAGTGGAAAAACCGAAAATTCATTAATCATTATGCAAATTAGGTAATTAGTAATTAGGTAATTTTTACCAAAAACTAATCAAAACCTAGCATTAGTTCAGAGCATCTATGTACCAAGTTTCAATAAGTGGTTATTTAGATATCAGTGGAACAGTCAGGGAAATAAGTAATTAAGTAATTAATATGCATGGATTTTTACCAAAATCTAATCAAATCTGTGCACAAGTTCAGAGCATCTATATAGCAAGTTTCATCAAAATCCAATGAGTGGTTCTTCAGATATCAATGGAACAGTAATGGAACAGCTAAAAATTAGCTTATTATCATGCAAATTAGGTAATTAATATGCATGGAATTTCACCAAAACCTAATCAAATCTGCGCATTGGCCCTGAGCATCTATGCACCAAGTTTCATCAAAAACTGATGTATGGTTCTTGAGATATTGGTGGAACAGACGGACACACATACACACATACACACTAGCTCACACACACACACAAACTAACTGCAAAGACTCCCATTTTGTGCTTCGCACATGGGAGTCAAAAAGAATGGGTGCGACTTCAATTAGGGATGCGGCTTCTAATGCAGATTTTACGGTATTTATTGACAACAATATAGGGTTTGATACTCACGTAGATGTATGAATACAACTAAAAACTTCTTATTTTACAAATAAATAAATAAATATAACACACATCTGAAGAGTTGTTAATTGACAGTCAGGGAACTCAATGTTAACAATCACCAACTTTTATAAACAATATAAAAAATAAACAGTTGATAAGCCCAGGACCCACATCCAAATAAGCATTTTTTTCATTCACAGATCCACATAATATGTAACTCAATGTAAAATTACTCCCCCACCAACCTTGTGCATTATTTCTACCAAGAGATCACACATAGATCAATCTGATTGAACACTCCTGTAAAATATACGCCCAATCAGAGTTGCAGCAGCATATAGTGAAATAAAATAAAGGGTCAGATGGTCACCATTGCCTTTAACCCTAGTTCCACACCTACAGTCTTCTACTGACCACTGCTTTTAACCCTTGTTCCACACCGACAGCTTCCCACTGACCACTGCCTTTAACCCTAGTTCCACACCTACAGTCTTCTACTGACCACTGTTTTTAACCCTTGTTCCACATCGACAGCTTCCCACTGACCACTGCCTTTAACCCTAGTTCCACACTGACAGCTTCCCATTGCCTTTAACCCTAGTTCCACACCAACAGCTTCCCACTGACCATTGCCTTTATCCCTAGTTCCACACCTATAGCTTCCCACTGACCATTGCCTTTATCCCTAGTTCCACACCAACAGCTTCCCACTGACCATTGCTTTTATCCCTAGTTCCACACCTATAGCTTCCCACTGACCATTGCCTTTATCCCTAGTTCCACACCAACAGCTTCCCACTGACCATTGCCTTTAACCCTAGTTCCACACCTACAGCTTCCCACTGACCATTGCCTTTATCCCTAGTTCCACACCAACAGCTTCCCACTGACCATTGCCTTTAACCCTAGTTCCACATCGACATCTTCCCACTGACCATTGCTGTTAACCCTAGTTCCACACCAACAGCTTCCCACTGACCATTGACTTTAACCCTAGTTCCACACCTACAGCTTCCCAATGACCATTGCCTTTAACCCTAGTTCCACACCTACAGCTTCCCACTGACCATTGCCTTT